CACGGGACTTCAACGAAGGCGATGATGTCTCACAATTTACAAAGAGTTACACCCCCACGCGGTCCTTACTCAACAGGCTGAGGAAAGAAGCATTGAGTAACGAGAGTGAAAATTGCCGGGGCATTGCTGCCACATCTTATCTGCGGTGCACTAGAGCAAAGCCAGATGTTCCTGAGCTGAGACTAAAACTGGAGTCGCAACAGATAACTAACCCCGTCGGTACTTTGGGATCCCAGTGTGTACACACACATCTCTGCACATGTCTTCAAGCATCTGAAAATACCAATTCTGCACTAGGAGAAAGGATTTATACCCAAATAAAAGCAACCCTGTGTTGTTTTTTTTTTTTTAAATAAAAATATATATTATTACTTAAGTCTGTGGATTATGATCCAACTAGCAGAACATCATTATTTTGCTTGATAGGCTTCTCATAAACTAATGCCATTACCACTGGGTGATATAATTCAACGAATATTCTGTTAATGCCGTGGTGCAGCACACTGCATGCATAAGCCCACAGTATGAGTAGAGCTATTTGAATATTTCTCCTATGATTTTCTGATTGAAATGTCTGGTTCATCAAAAGGCTTACAGACATATTATCTTAGACATCTGTGTGAAAGATATCAATGAAAAAAAAAAATTAAAGCAAAAGTTGTGGTGGAAGAATCTGTTTCTCAGACAGTTCTGGCAATGATTGTGCATGAGGCACTTTGTGATCTTTAATTCCAAGAGAGCACAAGGGCATCCATATAGCTGTTGCCCAAGGGATCCCATGGTGATGCTTAACAAGCTTATATCATTTACTGCATAAATGCTTCAATTAAGTTAACAAACCACAAGGATTAAGCCAATCAAAGGAAGGAAACGCATGTTATGCTTGGCACAGCAGTACTTGCTCAACCTACGCATGAGCCCTCTCTTTTCATGAACAGCAGCACGATGGAAATGGTTCCTAAAGAAAAATATTGATAGAGCTGCTGGGGTGAATTTCTCAGCTTACTTCAAGGCTCGTCGCAGAGTGCAAGACTTGGAGTGTGATTTTCAATGGCACACAGATAACTTGTTCCCTTTCCTTTTGGCCCTACCTCCCCACCATACTCAGATCTAGGCTAACCCATTTCCCTTGGCAGTCTGTAATCACACAGACTATTTTACCATCAAGACCAGATAAATCAGAGCACAGCTTTGCCTTCTGGCGGAGTCAGGACCTATGCAGTCATTTCAACCCCTGCTGAGGGTTAAAACGATTTCCTTAAGGATAGTCAAGGAATGACTGGTAATGACCCTGAGTAGTTGGCCTAGCTTCAAAGTTACCTTGGTTTTGAGTGGGA